TGTTAAAACCAACAGGAGTTTCACACTGCAGATCAGTCCTCAACTTTTCCAATCAATCACTTGTGTGTTTGATGAAAAAGTCTTCTGTAAAAAGCTGCACTAAAAAGGCCATACCTATTTTTTTGTACACGCAGTGATCCTGTTCTATGGAGTTCCATTGGTCCTGTGGCTCTACAGCACTGGAGAGGTAGAATAATTTTGTGCAGGAAAGGTGCAGGGTAAACCGAAGTTGTTTTATGAAAACAGCCATGTAAATTTTACCTTTGAAGAAAACACACACATGCACAAAAAAAAAAAAAAATCAATGGTTGCCAGGAACCATAACAGTGTTGCAAAAAAATGCATAGGAAAAGCCCCTGAAGCAGTTAAAGCAAACAGAAAAACACAGTCAAAATATTTGTTTCTCCTCTAAAAAAACCCAAAAACTTTTACAAATTGGAGCTGTTCTCTCTTGTCTTCCAATCTAACATGATCTTGATTGAAAAGCTGTTTTTTTTTTAATAAATTAATACTGTGTGGTTGTTAAATACACCTTGTTCCTCATAGAGGTCATTGACATTTTTATTTTTTCTAATGCAAATTGCATCATAAGGCAGCTAACATTAGGTACTGCATCTGGGTAATGACTTGATAAATTATTTGACTCAGTGGCCTCAAGTTTATAATGTGATTTCACGAAAAATTTGCATAGAAACCTAATGGAGATAGACATGTTTCGTTTTTTTTCTAAATATAGCAGCAACTCAGAGAACAGTAAAAACAAGTGAGTGCAAAAGTTAACAAGCACAGTTCCTTAGCTTCTCATTGACTCAAAGGCTTGAGTTGTGACACCCAGTTGTGACAAACTTCTGCTGCTGTCATTGACAACTGCTTTAATGTGTTGGATTATTTTGAAGTGCTCATATGAAAAGGTACATTGATAATAGGATAGCAGTATGGGCCAAGACACGAACAATGGTATCTATCCTATATTTCTGGTATTACATATTAAAAAGTTTAATAAATCTGTGACCTGCTGCTTATGGACTGGCATGTAGGCTTAGAGCACATGGAATTTGTTTGCCGGCTCTTTTGTTCTTACACTTGAGGGCCTGATTCTCCCCTCCCCACCTTTGTTACTGAAGGCAAAAGAAAGAAAAATATAGGAATGCATGAGGTACTATACAAAAGGCATTTGAGAAAGCTGCCTTTGTGGTGTGATTGGTCACTAATACGGACATTGCCAGTCATTTGGGGCTAACACTGGAGAGGCTTCCTATAACTTGGCTGGTCTTGCAGTGAAGCCATCTGTCTATTTCTCAAATATTTTGTGGAGTCCATGGTCTTGACTCTATGTCCCCATAGTCATGACAGCAACCAGAATTAGTTATAATGAACCCCATCCCTGAAGATCATGCACTGCATTACCACCAAACAAAATTTCCTGAATCACCTGCATGAGCCCTAGCCTGAAACTGGCTTTGTTCCGTAGAGGAGAGATGCAGGGTAAGTTAGACATACTTGAGGGGACCTGCTTCCTGCAGGTCCATCCCTACAAGTGATTCAAAAGAGCAGTTGCTGCAGTGTCTAAAGGAAGGGAGAATCATAGAAACACAGAATGCCTTGGGTTGGAAGACCCCTTAGAGATCATCTAGTTCCAACCCACCTGCCATGGACAGGGACACCTTCCACTAGTCTGGGTTGCTCAGAGCCCCATCCAACCTGGCCTTGAACTGGGCATCTGTAACTTCTCTGGACAGGCTCTTCCAGTTCCTCACCTATTTCTCCCCAGCAATTAGGAATTTCTTCCTAACATGTCATCTAAGCCTACTCTCTTTCAGTTTTAAACCATCCCCCATTGTCATGTCACTACATGCTCTCATAAAAAGCTTATGTCTGTCATTCTAGTAGGCTCCCTTCAAGTGCTGGAAGGCCACAATTAGGTCACCTCAAAGTCTTCTCCAGGCTGGACAATCCCAATTCTCTCAGCCTTTCCTCATAGGAGACGTGTTCCACCCCTCTGACCATCTTGGTGGCCTCCTGTGGACTTGCTCCAAGAGGTTCCTGTGCTGGGGGCTCCAGAGGCCAATGCAGTACCCAAGGTGGGGTTTCAAGACAGCAGAGCAGAAGGGCAGAATCCTGCCCCTCACTCTACTGCCCATTCTGCTTTGGATGCAGCCCAGGACACAACTGCCTTTCTGAGGTGCAAGTTCACATTGCTGGGTCATGTCCAGCCTCTCACCCACCAGCACCCCCTGTCCTTCTCAGCAGGGCTGCTCTGGATCTGCTCATCTCCAGCCTGGGTTGATACCACAACCCAAACCCCAGCCCAGATGCAGCACTTTGCACTTGGTCTTATCAATCCTCATGAGATTCCCGTGGACCCACTTGAGCTTGTCCAGGTCCCCCTGGACAGCATCCCCTCCCTCAGGTGTGTCAACCACACCACTCACATGGTGTCATCTGCAAATTTGCTAAGGCTGCACTTGATAACTTCTTCTGTTTAATTAATGAAGGTATTAACTAACCCTTTTCCAGTATGAGCCCCAAAGAGATATCATTTATCACTGATATCCATTGAAGTTTGATCACTACCCTTTGTATGTGACTGTCCAACCATTTCCTCACCCACCTAACATTCCACTCATCACATCCGTCTCTCTCCAATTTAGAGAGGGATGCTGTGGGACAGTGTCAAAGGCTTTACAGAAGTCTGGATAAATGACAATTGTAGCCCTTCCCATGTCTACTGATATAAATAATGCATCAATGGAAGGCCAGTAGTTTGGTCAAGCAGGACTTGCTCTTGGTGCAGCCATGCTGGGTGTCCTGAAACACCTCCCTGCTTTCTATGTGCCTTATCACAGCTTCTAGGAGGATCTGTCCCGTTATCTTCATAGGCACAGAGGTGAGGCACACAGGCTGGTAGTTTTCAGAGACTTCCTTATAACCCTTTTGAAAGAGGAGTACAATGTTACCCTTTTTCCAGTCAGTAGGGACTTCCCTTGCATGCCATGACTTTTCAAATATCATAGAGAGTGCCTTGGCAACTGGTCAGCCAATTCCCTCAGGGCTCTGGGATGCCTCTCATGGGTCTCATAGACTTATGTTTGTTCATGTTCCTCAGGTGGTCATGAACCTGATCTGTATGTACAGTGGGAAGCACTTTGTTCCCTAGTTCCCATTTTGCTGTCCATCCACTTGAGAGGTATTAGAAGACTGAGGCTTCCTCATCTATTGCTACCAGTTTTCTAGTGTTATTTATCAGGGGGTGCACCTTCTTTGACCTTTCTTTTCTGGCTAACATACCTGTATAAAGCCCTTCTAGTTATTCTTCATGTCCCTTGAGAGGTTCAGTTGCAGCTTCAAGGAAGACTGTGATAGATCTGAAAATGGGGGAGCTGAGGTTTGAGGTCTGCCCCCATGTAAATTCAGGGGAACAAATCCATCACCTATGACAATTACACACCAGATAGCAATAACTTACATTCAAAATTTCAATTCGGCAAACTGTGTTAGGTAGAGTTGTGTCAGGAACCATGGGGGTTCAAACACATACAGCCGGTTTATTTCTTAATTAAGATAAATATGAAAAGGGTTACTTTATTTTTAGGGGTTTTAAATGTTTGGATTGCATGTTGTGGAACCATCATCCAATGAATAGTTTCTGCCAAAAATGAGTTAGATTTATTTCAAAGACATGCGTCTTCAGTAAACATGTTGTAGACTGTAGAAATGTGGAATTTTAATTCTGATTATAAACCTGACAGTTTAAAGCTTCATATGGTTCCTCTGTAATTAAAATAATTTCCAAATGCCTGTCATCTCTCAACCTATTTAGTAACACTGGGATCTATGTCACTGAATCAGGGCAAATGTTGACATGTTCATGGACCTGGAATCTGAGTCTTCCTCTCATCATTGAAACAGATATGCCTGCAAGAAGGCTAAGAAAATTTGCTTGAACACTAGAGAGTAAAATCTAGCCCTTTTTTTTTTATTTTTAGTGAAGTGGAGTTTAAATTCTACAAATTTTGTTAGTTTTATAAAAAATTGAAACTCAATAAAATCTAAATGCCTACTCCAAAGCTAAAACCCTGTCAGCTTCTGCTGGATTCCTATCAGCAACTGCACTCCAATAAAAATGACCAATCAGTGAAAAATTGGGAATATCCACAAGAAATTTTAAAAACTTCATTAATGTAACTCTAAGTCCAGGCTTGCACTGACTTGTGGCTGTTACTGTACAGAATGGATTTAAGGTTTATTAAATTAGACTATGTCACTACATATTAAAAAGGAGTTCATGTATTTATTCTAGTATAGACATAATGATATTTTCAGAGTATGTGTATGATTGACAACAGTACTAGCTACAGTTTTATTTATTCCTATGATAAATCAATTATTATTCCTTAAATATCCTTATTTCTCTCTCAGATAAAGATGCTATCTCTTATTACATGGAAAGCATACTTTAATTAAGAGTTCTGCTTTTTTCTAATTTTGATGGATATTACAGCTAAATTTTCCCATGGCAATTGTTCACAGCCTGGGCACACTGGACCTGTTCAGACAGACTCATAACAAAAGACACAATTTTGTTGTTGGCACTATTGAACTTTCTGACTATCAAGCTTTTGAGATCTGATTTATATAGGGCAAATGTAATACAAAAAAAACCAAAAACAAACAAAACACTCACACTCAAAAATCCTCAGCACTTCTTTCCTTCTTTAAAAAAAGAATTCATTATTGAAGTTAGGGAATTGTAACTCACAGCATCATTATGGGAAGTATTATTAATCATATCTTACATCTGAAGAAACAAGTGTGGAGAGAATTTAAGACATCTGTAGAAAGGTGATTCTTCTCTGGACTTTCAGCACTACCCTTCTTTCAGTCTTAAATGTTTTTTTATCTACTTTTACCCACTAAAGTGAGAATAGAAAAAAGGTTTATTTTGCTATCACTTTACACCACATCATAAGGAAGCAAAAGGACCCAGCCAACATAAAGCATCTATTGACATATAATTGTTTATTTGTGGTACTGCTCTTCATTGGCAGAACAGAGATTGATTTGGTGTTGCAGGGATGGTAGCACTTTTAAAGCTCTACAGACTTTGAAGTCCAACTAGGCTAAGTAAGACCAAATTTAGCAGATTTCACTCTTTGTGGAGAATCTGTGATAGCAGTGCAGGAGAAGGATTTTCTAATGGTGTGGACCCTCAGCAAAGTAACTGATGCATCATCAAACCACAGCGTGTTCAGGGGTGTCCAATTGCTCTGCATCACTTTTGAAAATTCTTCAGTGGACTTTAAACTTGATTGGCTCTTGTCTGACTGCAGTCACCTCTCTACAGTTCCCCAATAATTCACAAAGCCAATTAGCTGTGGCCTTCAGTCCTTCTTCCCATCTGTGGGCTAAGGGAGGGAGTTGAAGTCCATTTTGAGCTCTGAGATGACACCTGAGTCCTGCAGCCAGCTTACAGACATGCTCCAAGGGCAAACATGTCACAATGCCCTTCCATTCACTTCACAGTTCCCATTTTCCTCGAAAACAACTGATCTGTGAGCAGGAAAACCATTTACTCAAAAATAAAGAGTAAAATGTTTTTCCTCTTCGATAATGTTCCCTGTTCTTTCAGTAGGTATTATGTTCTGTAATGTGCTGTGTGTGCACCCATTTTGTCATCGCTTTGGGTCATCCTCGCTCACAATTGGTTATTTACTCAGGGGCTTTTGAAATTATTGAGTTGACACATCTGTCAGACAGCAAAAGCAGAAATGCTAAAAGGTCACTTGGAGAGAAACCAGCTGCTTCAGACAAACCTTTCTGCCTTCAAATAGCACAATCATTATAGTCTAACAGATGGGGCCTCTGCTTTCATTTCTGCTTTTCTCCTTCACTTCAGGTATTTAGATATACTACCTCATTGCCAGGTCAACACAGGCCTTCTAGTAATTACCTACACAATAGGCAGCTCTCAGCTTAGGAGAAAACAGCTCCATTTTCTGTCTGCAAATGGGGAACCTGTTTCATCACAGATATGAGTTACAGAAGGTTGGCCACAAACTTTCCTATTAACAGATTAATTTGGACACCAGTCATTACTCTAGGAAGCATGAATTTAGTACTGATCTAACACTTCAGAGAGCCTGGGGGCTTTTGGCAAAGATGGTGATAAATAGAAGTGAGTGAATAATTCTTAACAAATAATTTAGTCAACAAGTTTGGACTCCCTGCCTGTTTGGTGAACATTAACCAAGCAGTTGTGACTCCCTGTGACGTATCCAATATCGGTGTTTTTGAAGAAGCGTCCATTCAGATGATTTACACTGCAGCTGATGAGTGATGATGATTCTGAATCATGCTGTTGGGCTGCTGTGAGCTGTAAATCATGTGATACTGTTTCTGTGCCGTCACTGGGCACAGCAGAGGGATTGCTTCTGACATAATAGCTCTCCTGTTTTAAACTTCTCTTTCAGGGGAAAGTGTCACATGTCAAAAGCTTGATTTCTCATCAAGCATGTGGAAAAGGAACAATGGGAAGCTGCAGAAGTATTCAGGTGAGTGGAAAAGAAATGTCCTCAACAAGTTTCTTTAATAAAAGATATTTTCAGAAACACCACGTGTATTTTACACAAATTCTTGGACAAGAAAAAGGCTGATTTTCAACAGGAAAAAAACACAACAATGTAAAAGTGTTAAAATGGCAGCCATTGTTTCAAAGACTCCAATTAGATTTCAAATCAAATCAGTGTCCAAGAGGAAAGTTATGTTTTTTGACAGAGAACACACATTTGAACTGTGTGAAAATTCTTGATTCTCAATAGACATAGTGGAACATTTTAAAAAATAATATTAATAAATAATAATAATAAAACCAAACATTTTTAAAAATAAAATTAATGCACCGTGGGCAATAACAGAAAACTGAAAATTGTGCTTTTGGAAGGTCAGTGCTCTATAAATTAAACAGTATTGGAAGTGGTGCTTTCAAAGTGAGTATGTATCCATTATGGAATGCACCTTAGAGAGCTTTTAACACCAAGTGGCACCAGAACACAGAAATTTCAAAACAACTGAACCCACTGTAAATTTGCTATTCTTTGGAAACATAGATGAAGGTAAAGGAAGTTCCTTATTCTGTGGTACTGATCAGCTGGCACAAAGAAAGAATGAACAATTCAGAAAGCATCTTTTGGTTTTGGTGTTGGTTGATTATGGTGGGTCACTTCATTTAATTTCAGGTAACCTGTCCTACTGATAGGATAGACTAAACCTCAAGCTGTGGTTAATAAATCTGAAGAATACTGCAAACTGTATGAAAATGAGTTACAGGAAGGAAATATTTTAATCACAAAGATTGTGATGTAACAGGTCATAAAATTCTCTATAAGGCCAAATCTTAGAAACAAATCTTGCAGTCTTTAAAAGCCATCTGGCAAAAAAAAAAAAAAAAAAAGATCACGACTGTACTCCAAGTCAAGGTATTTAGGAAAGAGTAATATCTAACATTTGAACTTGCAAAAATGCAGAAAACAGCTCAGTCAAGGATGAAACATTGGAAAGGGAAGACAGTGCTTCCAAGCAGGTTTGTGTAATACTAAATTGTGCAAAAAAAGAGTAATCATATGGTGAAGATCTGCAAAACTCAATAGCTTAAGCAGCAAAAATTCCTGAGAAACTGCTGAGCATCCTGTTTGAGATAACCTAAACCAGGAGAATCTCTGCAGCAGAAACAGGTCCAGAACAGGGTATCCTAAGTTTGTTCAGATCCATGTGGAGTCCTGATAGAGACTGAGGGATTGGGATTTCTCTAGAAAGCAAAGGTGTCTTGACGGGGAGGTCACAATCTGTGCTCCAGACTCTTGTTCCACAAATTGAGGAACCCACAGGCTAGAAGTTCCAGGATGTCATTCCCCAGAAAAAAATATATTTGCATGAGTACACAAAAGTTGTTCAGGGACTGAAAGATCCAAGGTAGAGCCAGTACTTGTCCCAAATGATTAGTGACACCGAGGAAGTTGTCAAGGCTTGGAACTTGTGCCAAAAACACAGGCCAAGTCAAGCAAGAGTCCATGTTGGCACAGGAAATTGTTCTCCTGGAGCAAAGTATGCACAGAATTGTTTAGAATGACTGGAAAACATTATGTACTTGTCCTAGACTATTATTCTCATGTCAATAGAGTAGCTTTACTAGAAGACACTAGAGCTAAACTGTGATTATGCTTGTCAAATGTGTTTACACTAGACATGGAGTACCTGGCATAGCGATGCTTGGCAACGAAGCACAGCTTAATAGGCACAAGTGCTGGCTGCTAGTGGTGAGTTTGGGTTTTAGATCTGTAATCCCTTGTCTTTTATTTACACCAGTCCAATGGGCAGGTTGAAAACTGTATCAGTGTAAGAGATTTGCTTTTTAAAAGAGATTGTTAAGTCCGACTCTAATCCATAGTGAGGATAAACTGGTAAATTGCTACATGAAAATGATGCTGATTTTAGCTCTGAACAGAACTAAGGCTTGAAATTAGCAGTGGTATTCTAGGAATTGTCAGCCTGATGACATTGTCAGCAGACTGAAGGGAGGTACATAGTCCCACCACTTTACAGCTTGCAAGGTGACTAAACCATTTTTTTTTTTCAGAGAAGATGTTATATGAGTAAAACTCCTGGCAGGTTAAAAGAGAAAAGCACAAGGATACTGTATTTTAAAAAAAGAGCAGACTGTGTGGTGGCTGCTGCTGTTAGGAAGGTGGTATAATGCTGTGTGGCAGTGAGAGCCCTCCTTCCTGTGCAGCTACTTTGTTAAAAGATGTTCTCTTGCACCAGAACTGAAACAAGCACCTAAAAGAATGCCACGAGAGAACATATTAAATTAAAAAGAGGCAAAAAACCAAGCACCATCAGTTCCTATGTGTGCATCTTTAAGTCTGGGTTGTGCTCAGGCCTCCAGATCCTTTTGTATTCAAATTACCGGCTTGCATCAGGTTTATGCAAGTAGCTGAAAGTCATTAGCAGCCTAAGGTTGTTATATGTCCAATGTGAGATGAATTGGTTTTGCTTGACAGCTGGGGTAAAGTTTAGATGCTTAGATGCAGAACATATTGCCATCAGGTCTCTTTCACAGTACACAGCAGAGATTCTCTCTTTTTTTTTTTTTTTTTTTTTTTTTTTTTTTTTTTTTCCCAATTCCCTTCTTACCATCAAATATTCTGTCAGAGCTGCTAGGAGCTGGATTGGCAGTGTTCAGCCTCGGAATGATTTCCTGTGCTGCTCAGGAGTCCCTGGTCAGGGGTAAGCCTGTGAGATCTGATAAAAGCAGGTTAAGATGCTTTGAGGAAATGTGGCAACCTAAAAACACTAAAAAAACCTGAGGTTACGGAATTTACACTAAAGCAGAGTGTAGTCTGAGTTAACATATTTAATGTTAGCTCCAGCTAGTCTCTTTCAAAAAAAATTCTTAAAATTTGTACCTCCTGAATCCTATGTGTTTTAGGATGTGAAGAGGTAACATTATTATCATCCATCATTAAATCCACTGAGTGTCAAACTTATCACCTTGACACTTTAATGATCCTTAAGATGTCCTTGTAAAAGCTGGGTACCATGGCAACCACTTAAACACAGGGCCTTGGCATTGCTGAACTTCTCTTAATAAATCAGGCATAATTGGCATCTATGTATTATAATAAATTAAAAGTTATTCAACTGGAATGATTTTATATTGTACAATATTAAGTCATTAAGTTTGCTGTTCTGATGTCTCCTTTGCGACATAATTCCTGTGTGTGCTTTTTAATACAAAAGATTTTATCTTCCCCTCACAAGTTATAACTGGGGAGATTTGAAGGTGCAGAAAATCAGTGCATAGTCTGTCACCCCCAGCAAAGTGTGCTTAAACCAGAACCCCACTGAAATGATTTGTTCCCAAGGACCAAAGTAATTTGATCAGGCAGGTTAAAATTACCTGTACATTTATTCAGGACACTGCATGATCCTTCTGCAGTGATCTGTTCTTCTTCCCTTTGTCTTCTGCTTTGTCCTCCTGCTCAGCCTGCAGAGGTGCACAGCAGCTGGGGTGAATTGCCATGGCAAAGGTGAGTGTAGCCCCCAGGAAGTACCTGGGGAAGGTGAGAGGGGATGTGCCATCCCTGTGCCTGCTCCATCTTGACTCTGTCCTGTCCTGACTGTCACCTTTTGGAAGAGGTCTGGTTAGGAATTACAAATCCTCGAAGATAGGAACATGTGGTCCCTGTAAACAGATAGTATAAAAAGAAAATTTCCATATATCCAGTTCTTCCTATCTATTCTCTCCTCTATGGCAGCACCAGCTACAGACAAGAGGGTTTGAATTCATTGCCTTTGTGTTGCAACTGTCATCACACTGTCTGTGTAGCACTTTCTGGAATCAGACTGCTCAAATGGAATGTGAAATGTTGGGTGGAAAACCTTGAAAGCATATTAAAAATACTCCCCAACAGGATGAATAGGTCTAGTTGTTAAATGCCATCTACTTACTTTCTTTAAAGATCTTTTATTTTATTGATTTTCTGAATGGGTTCTTCATGTCACATAGTTATAAGGTACTTCAAAAATTCATTATTTTGCCTATAAGATGACTACAGTAGAAGCCATGTGACATTTCCATTTGTTTTCTGCAGATTTTGATTTTAAAGATCTGAATTTTAAAGCAAAAACCTAATAAGCCATAAGCTAATGAGACTGGGAAACAGAAAAACAGGATTGTTCATTGTACTGTATCACATTGGCCAACTACAGAAAAAGACCAGGATAATGAATTCACAGTGATAATACCAGATGGGTATTGGGTAGGAAATGGGAATGTTGAGATTTGTCAGGTTCTCAGTAAAGTCACTGGGAGCTCTATGTGGACTGAGGTCTGTCTGAAAGCCTGCCTGACTTGTTACCCTGCCTGACTGGACATTGTGACTTTGTGCTGCTTTGTGTGCCATATTCAGTTTTCTCTTGATGCCACAGCGGTGGCTTTCTGACCTTCCTCTGATTTGAAACTGGAAATCAATAAAGTCAAAATAACTGGTCCTTTGGACATGTTTGTCCATCTGTTAGCTAGCAGGGAAACCATGTGTGAATGCTCTTTTTTGTGGGCACAAGGTCTCTTTGTACACAGCGTGGCACAGTGACAGCAGCGCGTTTCTGGATAGCTCTGCATTACACATGCCTAAGGAGTTCTCAACACAGCAGAGTATTTGTGAATATACTTAATTTGAAACCTGTTTCAATATTTCACTGATAGAAAAAAGCCTGCTAATACTTATGCAGATGTTTATCTGGACTGCTGAGCTAATTAAGACTGGTCATCTAGAAAGTGAAACTAAGTCAAAACATAAACATCTATCTGTGTGTCATTGTGATTTTAACTATTATCCTCGTTGCCCTTCATGCCTAGTTGTTTCTTAGGCTTTCCAGTTGTCTTTTATATTCAGGTATCAGCTCTCAAAGACAAAGAGAGGGTCTGAGCTTTTGGTGACAAACAGCTCTTGCACACTGGAAGATGCTCCAAAAGAATGTTAATCATTAAAGGGATGTTAATAGTTCCCATTCTTTTACCACTACTGTGCAGTTGTATCAGACAGTACAACAGTTTAGAGCAATAAAATAAAAATATATCCTTGATTACAATAACATTATCAATACACAGATATTTTAATGTGAAAAGGTTATTGTTGAAATATGTTGTTTATCAACACTTTTATTTTTAATATCTTATTTATATCAGGTCAAAATCTAAATGAAGTTGAATTTAGTTACTAAAATTTATGTTTTAAACTGAGACTCAGTTTTAGATGTCTTTGATTCCTCACAAAAACTGATTTAGTGCCCCAAACTGAAAAGGTCACAGAACTGAAAAAATATTTTCATTTCCTTAGTCTTATATAAACTTTTACTAAAAGTATTTTGGATTCTGATACACAAAGACTAATGCTTGCCTCCAGAGAAATAATAAGAAGGAGAAATGCAATGCTACTACAGTACACTAATGTGTACTGTAGCATGATAGATGTTGTTATTTAAAAAATAAAGTTCTGAGAGGTATTGCTTACAAATATTTTCAGGATGATTTTAGCATTTTCTTTCACACACTCCTGCAATTCCCTGTTTCCACAAGTCCTTTCACTACTGATGAACTTTGCTTGTGAGGAACTTGTGGAGCTGTTGTGCACTACAGAAAAGAAGGACATTTTAAGAGGGTGGAGGAGAAAGACCAAAGTAAAACAGAGATGTGCACAAGAAAAGATCTTTACAGTTTAGGTGGTGGCTTAGGACTGGAATTAGAGCATTTTGACTGTAGAGTTATTGTTACCAGCTCCCTTGTTTCTGCATTTGTTTGGATATATTAATGCACTTGTTATCATATCTGAGGTACCTCAGTTGAGTTCAGGCTATTTCTGCATACTAGCAAGTTTCCAAATATCACCTTTCCAATTTTCTTTTTTTTTTTTTTTGCCTAAAGAGGAATTGCTGCTTTAGTTGTACCAGGATTTCTTATGTTCAGCAATTTCTGCTGAACTCTACATTAAAACTTTCACTTTGATCTAATGTATCTAATGGAGGGATGATTATCAGGTTGATTATCAGGCTGCTATGTGAGATAATTTATAAAAAGCTAGTACATTCCACAATTTCCACCATTTAGGAACGTTAGCCCAGCATTCCATAGATGCTTTGCTTCAGGCTTGCTACCTGTGTCTCTTTTGAGGGTGGCATTTTGAAATTAGAAATTAGAAATTAAAATCTGAAATTAGACTTTAGAAATTAGGTGTTTATTAAAATGCAGTAAAGGTCAGTGAAAACCTTAAAATAAGAAATAAGGACACCGAGATGCAGCAGATATCAGTAATGCTGATGATGAGGGATACAGCCTGCCTGCTCATCAGTGGATTTTGCATTCCAATACTAATAATTTAAGTGCTTATTTTATTATAAACTTCATTGGTTATATAAAAATGGAAGAAAGAAGTGAGAAAATAGCATGTGATATAACACATCACTCAACCTCTTGCCTACACCATTGTTTCTGTTCATGGTTCCCTTTGCAACCAACCTTTTACTTTTTTCTTTTTTAATAGAAACAGAAAAACTGGTGTCTGGCAGCCTCTGCCTTTGACTGTGCTTTAATTCACTGTGCATCAGCAGGTGTCCAATACTCAATTCTTGATGCTTATATATTGTGTTTCATCTGCTGTCATCCTCAGAGCTAAAAAGTGATGGTCCTCAGTTCAAGTTTTATATCTGTGTAGGAGAGCAGAAGTGTGAAGTGCAAGTGCAGCTTGTACAGACCCAAGTGACATAGCTTTGATCTGCTTAGTTTCCAATTCCAGCTTCAGGCACCAGCTGTAGCCTCCCAGTCTGAGGGAAGGCTCGTACAGCCCCTGCAGAAGGGGATTGTTCTGGGCTTGAGCTCAGTTCAGACTCTTCCTCCCAAGCTGAGGTCCTGTTGCATCAATAGAATATACCTGATTTCCTCAAAAGCTGCACAACCTGAACAGCTTCTTATCTGGGCACTCTGGGCATTCTAAGGGAGCATAAAATGGCTGTTGGGTAAAACTGTGAAGCAGCAATGATTTTTTAATTCTATGTTTTCTCCTTCTGAGAAATGAGATCTGACTTGCAGGTTGCCAGTATCTCTTTTGTACAGTGTGTGGGTAAAAGTGCAAGTGTGACAAGGGAAGCTATAAATAATTTTACACCTAATGGTGCTCTAATGCATGTGGGCTGTACATATCTCTTTGATATTTGTGAAGGGAATTTCCTCTCCCTGGGAGAGGGGGGTGACTGCTCTGGGAGGACTTGCCCTGCAGCTCCTCAGGGCAATGTTGTCCTCATGTTTTCTTTCTCCTTTGCCATATCTAAAATCAATCATTTTAAGGAAAAAAAAAAAAAAAAAAAAGCAGTTTTATTTCGAATTGTTGCATGGCAGTACCAAACACATAAGTAACTAGGTGTGGATATGTTAGAATTGTTTCAAGCTGGTCTGTCCATAAAAATCTGCCCAGAAGTTTGACTTCTAGGAAGAGCAGCAAAAGAGAAATTAGGTACTCTTAGTTAGAAATACTTCTAAAACAAGTTTGTAAGCGTATTTGTTCATCACCACTTACCTAAATGTGTTGAGCATACTGGAAATTAGTAAATGTTGAGTAATGGTCAAAAGGTGTCTTTCTGCTTTTACAATAAGACCAGTAACAGATATTTAGAATACCCACATCCCCTCATCATGCTGCAATGCCATTGTCACTTTTATCATAAAAGAATTATGTATCTCTGTATATGAAAAATGCATTCTAGAACTACTCTGAATTAGTTTTTAATGTACTGTGACCTTGAATTGCCCCAGGATATTAATGCTAAATGATTACTTCTGAATGCTCTTTGAATAGCTGCACAGAGCAATTAAATGCACCATACATCACACATGACATAGTTAAACGCCTCTTCTGGTCAAGGAACCTAAACAGTTCTTTCAAATGATGGTAATTCCATATTACTGAAGATGAAAAAAAAAAAAAAAGACATAATTTGCTAGCATTAAGATAAGCATAACCTGGACGAGGTTATAACTTTGCCTGAGATGGAGCAAAATAAAAGATTTTTTTATGGTGGTCTACAAGGAAGATCATTGCAAAACCAAAGCACCATCACACTGCACATTCTCTCTACACAAAGGGAGCAATAGAAATAAATCCCTCCCTTTTTGACAAGTTGTCATTTTTTCCCTGTAAAATAAAAGAATAAAGAATACGGCTCATAAAATGGGTGTAAAATGTGGACACTGCTATTATGTATGGTATATTGTGCAGCAGTTGATTTTAGAAAGTGGAATGACATAAATCTGATCTTTGCAAAACCTTCTAATAAAATTCATGAAGTTTAGAAGCGATCACAGGGGCCAAGATTAATCTGATAATTGGAGCACAAAGAGCCTTTTGCTTGGGTCACTGGTTCAAATCTGACCTGGTTACTTGAAAGTATGTGCTATTTCAGATGCAGTGGCAATTTTGGCCCAAGTCAGAGCAGACATATCATCCCTTTTGGTATTCAGTGGGTATAAATGTTGAGTGTGACTGTGATTCAAAAATCAGCCCAATTGTTTATATTACACATCAGACACTGGTGACAACTGCCTGATAGACTCAGCTTTCAGACTACCCCTCAGCACATGCTCCATACCATTTCCTTGCCTCTAGCCTGGTTCCTGGCAGCAATTCCTACCCT